TACTCATGCTACAAATAAAAAAAAACTGTGGCTCAGATAGGTTAAGTAATTTGCTTGAGGCCACACAGCTAGTAAGTGCGGGATGCAGCACACCGAGAGGCTTGCCCTCCAAGGTAGTGCCTGGTGCCCCACGCTGCATGGCCGCCCCCGCAGAACCCCGGTCCAGGAGGGGGTATTACGTGTGGATTTTAGGCCAAATGGTGGCTCGGCATCACCTCAACTCAAATGAAAATGCAGCCGGTATGGAAGGTGAGCCACCAGCAGGTTACACAGAGGGGTCCTTGGCAGAATTTGCCATTTTTATTTTAATTACATAGGTGTTTCTTACTACGGAACACACGAAAAGGAAAATTAGTCCCAGAAACCATATGATAACATGGTTTGGAAGTTTTTTAAAGGTTTGTCTCTCAAACTTTTACATAGAAACACACACATCTACATTGAACAAAAGCGGGATGGTTTCTGTACAGGTCACCTATGACCTGTTTGTCTTCTCACCTGATACACGGAAGCTCCTGCCACAGAGCTGGCTCAGGTGCAGCTCCCAGGTAGATAAGCGCGTGCCCCAGCGTTCTCGAAACTTCTTCCAAGGGAGCCGAAGCCACCCACAGCTGTGTGAACAGCACCCCCTAGACTCCAGCTGGAATTTAGCAAAACCTAATCCTGATAAGAGTAAAATCCCTACAGGGCAGAGCCGTTGGGACACCCCCCCCCCACCTCACCTGGGGGAACTGGAGAACAGTGAGGACAGACACCCATTGAAGAACTTTGGACACACCCTTCCATGATCTCATGGAGCAGTTCTTTTTGTAGACTGGAGAATTAAAGGCCAGTGACCCCTGCTAGTAAAGATAATGAGTAAATGGCGGGGATGGGCAGGGACCTGGTTTTTGACTCCTGGCTTCCCATCAGTGCTCCATCCAAGGCGACCTCTAATTCTTACAGGAGGATGGAATTTGGTCCATGGGATGGAGCTGCGAGGGTCCTGTCCCTCTTCTGCCCCTTGCTAACTCTGGGACCTTGGGCAAGACACTGACTCCTGCCATGCTCAGTGGCCAGCGTCAGCCTCTGAGGATTGTTGTGGAACGTTCCACACTGTCATGGAGTCCTATGAGGGAGGCCCACGTAGGAGCAAGCGTGCTGCCTGCACGTGCTGGAGATACCACAAGTGCTCACCCTTTCCCCCCGGCCCCCCGGCCCCAGAGCAGGTCGAACGAGACTAAGAACTTTCAGAGGTGATGTGTGTCTTCAAGGTCACCCCCAACATGTGAGTCTTACGGAAGTCATCAGCCAGTTCCAGGCAGAGACCCCGTCCATTTTGCACTTGGCTTCCATAGACGCGCAGGATCGAGCCCTTGCCTTTGTGTGATTTTCACATGTTAGTGACACCTGCGGAGGAGACGGCAGCCCTTCCTGGAGCTCACGCGGGGCTGAGCTCCACAGCAGAAGTGAATCAGCCTGGCTGAATCCCCGGCCGGCAGGGCCTGGGTGCTGCCTCATCAGGAGATGCGGGGGAGTGAGAGGGGCTCCTCTGTTAGCCTGTGCAAATTTCCCTCCCTAGGAGCCCAACAACGCCCTGCCCTGCCCTGCCCCATGCCCCTCTCTCCAAGAAGGAGTATGGAGATACTAGCTTTCCCTCCTGGGTGCATGTTTTGCAGCAGGCGGCACCATGGCAGATGGCCCCAGTAAAGATCTGAAGTGAACAGGGATGTTGGTGTTGCTTATAGATCAGCAGGTATATCCCTCTTTTCCAAAAGGAGGCCTCATATATGCCAAATAGTCGTAGAAATAAGCCCTGATTATATGGTAATCCCATTTTCCCGGGGAGCAGGGTTTTTTTTTAAAATTATACGACCAATTTACATGTAAAAGTTTTTAATGGAATAGGTGGACTAGTCAAAAGCGAGCTTGAAATGTGTAACTTCCCTAGAATGTTATAAAATTGAGCCTTAAGAAATTGTATCTTTCATGGGGTCAAAACGGTTGACTCTAAGCAATTTTGTATGATGCAACCAAATATTTGCAGTGTCTGTCTTGTCATCACTAGCTCCGCTTTCTGAGTCGCCCGTGCGGTTGCCAGAGGATGCATGATCATGTCCGACTTCACCGAGATGCTGCCCATTTTGAACCTGTGTGTGCTGCTGTCGGTGGACGGTCCCTCGCAGCTGTTGCAGATGTCGCACCGCCCGGGTGTGCTTCTGCTCGCCTTGCTGTGACGTTGTACTGCGTGGGTGTGGCTTGGCACCGCATTAGGGTCCTTGGCTTCTCCCTTCCTTCACCCTATTTGTGTGGACTCAGTCTCTGGGTATAACCACTTCCCAGACTGCTTTCGTAAATGATCTTTAAACATTGTTTATTCCATCCTCCCTCATTCGCAATTATGAAGTCCTGTCTCTAGGAGAAGACAGTTGAATTTTTTGCCACCTATTTTTTTTTTAACCTCTGAGTGATCTCCATAGATCCATAGTGCGCCTTGACTGAGGTCACTCAGGTTAGTGGCAATTTCCCAAGCAGCAGTTTGGCTACAAAATAACCGAGGGCACCCCTCCACCCCTGCCCCCAAACTGGCGAGAGGTTTTGTTGTTACTTAAGAAGGCAACGTACTGTTTCCTAAGAACAATTTTGACCGAGAGCCTTTGCTTTGTTATTTTCAAGCACACGTGTCCCCTGCTTATAAACTCAGCAGGCGGGGCTGTGGCTGGATGTTGTTCTTGCTTAATTACACGTGTATAATTACTACTTCATAGGAAGAAAGGAGAGCTTTTTGCATTCTCCACAGGGCACAGGAGGAAGTTCAGGTGAAGTCAGAAGTTCTCAGTTCCGGATGCCACAGCAACCACCTGGAGAGCTTTAAAAACACTGATGCTTGGGTCTCTCCTCACCCCCCTGACAGTCTGGGACATCAGGATTTTTAAAAGCTCACCAGGTAACTCCATGCAGTAGATCCCAACCCGCAACCAGCTTCCTCCCTCCAAGAAGAAGTCACATTGCCGTAGCACCTGTCCCATGCTCAAGGTCTCCCTGTGGGTGAGAACCTCCTTGCGCAAATTCATCCCTCAACCTCAGCACCCCGCAAACTTCCGTGTGCCCCGATGCTGACTCTTGACGTCTGGGATGGAGCCCTGACATCTGCGCTTGTAACGCGTGATGAATTCTCAAGGCCGTGAGCAGCCGCTGCTGGGCTCACCTGGGCTCAGGAGCCCAGCGGCCTGGCCAGCCTTGCCTGTCGGGGCAGAGCCATTCTGGTTCCAATGTGCGTTGCTGGGGCCCGCAGGGGAGCTGCTTGTGGTTTTCCCACCTCTTTTGTGATTTGGAGACTGGTATTCCTTCAGAGCAACATCGCCTCTGAATGTTTATGTTTCTAATGTGGAAGGAAACATGAACCTGCTTGTCAGACCAGAAAGCAGAGGGACTCGCCCGCAGAAGCCCCCTTGGGAGCAGACAGCACCCACATGGGCACGGATGGCAACACCAGAGTCTCCCACTGAGTCTGTGCCGGGCAACCCCTGACCGCCTCCCCCAGGAAGGCCCTTCCTCCAGCACAGGCCACGGCCAGGCCCAAGGGAGGCCTAGGGAAGCACAGGGTCCAGATGGCACCTGGCATCCTCACCACGTGTGACGTTCGGAGAACAAAGCTTGTGCCCAAGCCTTCCAGGCCCTGCTTCCCCCTCCCCATCCCGAGGTGCTGTCGTTAACTCCAGCTGGGCTGCTGTGCCCGCAGCCTTTGCAGAGTGCGCTCAGACACTGTGCATCGGGCCGTGTGGGCGCTGGGGGACACCAGACAGAGAAAGGACACATATGGGTCTGGCTCTCTTCCTGGGAAGAGACCAACTTAATGGAGAGACCGTTCCAAGGGCTCCCAGGAGAGTAAGCAAAGGCCGAGGAGCTCAGAGAGCAGGATCTGGGTAGAGGACTTGGATACGTGGCCCGGGCCTCCCTGGGAACTACCTTAAAGAATGTGAGGAGGGGTGCAGGGGAAACAGGGCCGTGAGTACAGTCCTACCAGGTCCCCTCCTTGGGAGTTTGGGGTCATCTGCTCAGCCACATTGACCTGGTTTTAGCAAACTCTGCCTCCTCGTGCCAGCGCTGCAAGTGCTGGGGCTGCCAGCAGCTGGGGACGTGGTGTCTGGATTAACACTGTGAGCCACGTGTGTTAGTCCACGACTCTGGTGTGCGAGAAAGCTTGTACTTTATTTTAACTTTATTTAATTCTAAGCCCCAACCTTCCAGGCTTATGGGAAATTCAATTCCAGTCATTACTGGGCTCCTCTCCACGCCCAGGACTGGACGAAGCCCCCAGAGCCTCAAGCAGCAGAAAGCGCTGGGGAGACCCCTGTGATAATCAGGCCTGGTGCCTCCTGGACCCCCCACCCACCCTGCCCACTGTCTCGAGAATCTCAAAGCCCGGCTCTCTGCTTGGAACAGATGTGGGAGGTGAAATGCAACCAGCATCAATAGTTCAGCAGTTGTCTTATGTCTTAGTCTGCTCAGGTTGTTATCACAAAATACCAAAGCCGGGGTGGCTTACCCAGCAGGCGTTTATTTCTCACAGTTCTGAAGGCTGGGAAGACCAAGGTCAAGGTGCTGACAAATGCGGTGTCTGTGGGTGCTCTCCTCCTGGTCTGCAGATAGCCATCTTCTCACAGTGAGGAGAGAGCTCCCATTTCTTTCTCTTCCTATAAGGACACTAATCCCATCGTGGGAGCCCCACCCTCAAGACTTCATCTAAATCTAATCACCTCCCAAAAACCCACCTCCTAATAGCATCCCACTGGGGGTTAGGGCTTCAACATAGGCATTTTGGGGGGACACAAGCATGCAGCCCACAACATCTTGAAACACTGTTCCATCAGACAGCTGCCTCTTCTGCCCTGAATTATTGCAAGCACCTGGGAATGACATGCAGGGGCCAGACCCAGGGGCAGCTGCATTGTGAGGCCATCCCCCAGCCCCCCCAGTCCAGTTTAGAGCCCAGCTCAAGCTGTCTCTCTCCCCGGCAGTGCTCGTCAACCTGCGGGAAGGGCCTGCAGTCCCGTGTGGTGCAGTGCATGCACAAGGTCACCGGGCGCCACGGCAGCGAGTGCCCCACCCTGTCCAAGCCAGCAGCCTACAGACAGTGCTACCAGGAGGTCTGCAATGACAAGATCAACGCCAACACCATCACCTCCCCTCGCCTCGGTGAGTACCTTCGCTGGCCCCAGTTTCTGGAGGGGGTGCCGCATCCCCCAGCCAGTGAGTCCCCACAGGTGGTGAGGTTCTATAAGCAAGAAAGCTCCCTTCTTGGTCCATATTTGTCATATAAGGCCAACATTTGTCAGTTCTGTAGAACAGAAGTTTCGGAGATGGAATTCCATTCCGTATCACGAGGTATTTGCTAACTGCCATCTCAAACACAGCACCCTGGGCCTCCCACCACTGGCCACTCTGCCAACACAGGAGACGTGCCTCAAACATTTTAGGATCCCTATGTCTGCGGAGGGTGAAGGGAAGTGCTTCTTTCTGGAAATGAAAGATCCAGGGGCATCATGGAGGAGACCCTGAGGATGTACACGTGGAGTGCCCCTTAGGCTGACGCCTGGGACGCAGACACACACGGAGAGGCTGGAGCTTTGGGGTGGGGAACCTGCAGCCTTGTGACCTTCTTGAGCCTTGAGTGCAGCCTTTAGACTGAATCCAAATTTTACAGATTTTACAGAACACATCCCTAAGGGAAGTTTGGATTCAGTCAAGGGGCCACACTTACTGGGCAGCCTGGCCCCGCGTGCTTGGAACCTGGCCCTTCAGCAGTCCGTGCCCTGAGCTGGTGGTGGTGTGAGAAGAGAGGAGGAGCATTTAATACTGATCTGGTGGTTCCTTTTAACAGAGTTACTGCTTTTCCAAATAGAAATCCCTGGGAAACATTTCCCTAACACTTAGAAACCCACAACCTGAAGGGGTTTCTAAGCATCTTCGTTTGGGGAGGAGGCCTTAGAGCTTGCAGAGCTGCACTTTTGCAAGCACAAGCCTACGAGGCATCCCCCAGAGACCTCCTCTGAGCAGGGTCTTCTCTCTCCATGACCAAGACCCTGAAGATTTGGGCCACTCGTTTGTATCTTGACCTTGTGCTGTTGTGGTTCCTTTGATGACCTCTGCTCCATGTCATCTTGTTTTAATATTAATAAACGCCAACGGTAACGGTGTCCTCCACCACAAAATAACAGTAAGTGGTGCTTAGCTCAGAAGCAGGGTGGCCAGTGTCCTCTCCCCTGGAGAGGCAGCCAGGCTGCCACACTCAGTCAAGCAGTTGGGTTGGATGCAGGGTGTATCCCCTGTGGCAGAGAGTGGCATCCCCAGTGCCCCTGGCAGAGGGTGCAGCCTCATCAGTCTGCACAAGACTGACATGTGCATGAAGGTGAGGGAGCCCCGACTGTCAGATCCAGGCCCTCCCTGTGCATGTGACCAACATGCCCATGCCACCCCTAATCCCCAGGTATTCTCTCTCTGCCGTCCCCTTAGCTGCTCTGACCTACAAATGCACACGGGATCAGTGGACAGTGTATTGCCGGGTCATCCGAGAGAAGAACCTCTGCCAGGACATGCGGTGGTACCAGCGCTGCTGCCAGACCTGCAGGGACTTCTATGCAAACAAGATGCGCCAGCTGCCGTCACCGAGCTCATGACGCGCAGCCCGGGGGTTGCGCAATGCTCAGGTCTGAGGCCTGGCGTTTAGCGAGCGGGAAGCCCACCCAGCCAAGAGTGCACCAGCCCTACGGCTCCCCCACAAGGCTGCCCCAAGAATCCAATCTCCTAGAACTTGAGCGTGGACTTGATGTTTGCCATTAGCGCTTCTGTACTTAATATATTGTTAACGGCCACTGGATGGCTTTCTACAGTAAGGAAAAAATAGGCGTGAGTCACAAAATAATTATAATTTCTAAGATTCCGTGTACCTCAAAGGGGAACACCTCTGTCAGACAGTTGTCAAAACAGACATCATTTGGTGCTTCTGTCTTGGCTTTTGACATTTGAAGTCCCAGGGCTTGATGTACCACGGAAGGAATATCCCGAAAATGAGACATTTTACGTTAAAAGAGGCTTTATTCTGAAAGCCATCGCGACACCCTGGATGGAAGGACACATGTTGGCGAGCCTCTGCCGACGGCTTCTCTGGAGGCGGCTAGGTGCCGGAGCCCACGTTCCTTCTCATCTACCTTCTTGACCACACAAGAATCAGGACAGTGCCTCTCTACCCAGCAGAACATTCTCTGAATCCTGGGCCTTGCCGTGGAAGTCTTGTCCCTGAGAGTTTAAATCTGTGTAGGCCAAGGAGGACACCAGAGCCATGCAGTAAGTTCCCCACACCACTCATGTGGGGAGAATATTCTAGAATGCTCTGGATTTGGGGAAGCATCTATTTTTTCAAAGGTCTGCTGTCCACCACATAGGCAAGCAGAAGAGCCTTTCCTCAAGGTGCTGTGGAATGGGACACGTGCTGATTGTGGCGACGGGATTGCTTCCCCACGTAAAGGTCAGCCCAGGACGGCTTTGTCGGGGGCTTGTGGGCCTCCCTCTCTGCCCTCTGGGGGCATCCGTTCTGGCCAGCACTTCGTGAAGCCTTGCACCATAGAGATGCCGTGTTGAATTCCAGTGGCTTTCCATGACCTTAGCCACCCTTCTGAAGTTAAGCTTACGTTTAGGATCCCCGGGAGTGCAAGCACAGGCCTGGGATCTGCAACTGCAGGCCCGACTGCTTCATCCCGGCACAGGGTAAGTTTCTTCCAGGGGCCTCTCGGCCCAGTGTGCCCAGACCAGCAAAGGGTCACCGCCTGGCTGGGACCACTGCACGCCCATCGAGCCTTCCTGTAGCCTGGGCTTTGCAGTGCCCATTGTCTTCATGGCTGTCATTACTGACCCATCTTCTTGCTGGGGCAAGGGTGATACCCAGAAGACATTGGTGGGGGGGTCTTTCCCTCCTACAGCCCCCTAACCCCTCCAGAAGCCCGAAGGCGTGGCCAGCGTGGCTTCTTTGAGAGCACAGAAGGCCCTCAAGGCCCAGGCAGGCTGGGAGCAGGGGCCCTAGATGCCAGGAGGCCTGTTTTGCTCATCAACTGGGTGGGCAATTCATGGGTGCTTATATTCTAGGACTTTACCATGAGAAACATGCCTGTTCCTCCCTGATTTCAGACAGAGGATCTCACTTGGGCTAATTTCCATGGGATTATCTCCAAGGGCTTATTGATTTATTGGTGCTGTGTTTATGTTTGTTTTTATTTTTTTTGATGTCACAACCTTAGGGTTAGCTTAAAAACCTCTCTGCCTTCTCAACCCTGTCTTATGGGCTGTGTTTTCAGTTTGGGATTTTACTACCCCAGAGGCAGAGAAGTGGTAGGGATGACAGGGAATTTATTCGGTTCCACTTGAATCAATGAGAAGTGTTGAGAAACTTCCTTAGGTGCTCTGTGGAAAGAACTGAGAGAATGTCAGGATGGAGTGGCCCACTCTGAGGTAGCCCACCAGCTGTTACCCCAGGGCCTGTGCAAAACACTGTCCTCCCCAGCTCAGGCCTGGCCACCAGCAGACTCCCTGAACCCACAAAGCCCTCAAATTCTTGGGGAGCTGGGATTCAATTTTACCCCAGCTCCAAAGGAGCTGGTAATTCACCAAAAGACATTAGCCTTTTGGAGCCAAGGGGCAGAGCCAGGGCAGCCCTGCTGGCTCCCCTGCCCAGGCCCGGGCACATTCCCTGGGACCTCTGAATTTGTCCCCTGGCCATCCTGGCACAGGCCCCATGTCCTCAGAGTGACAATGATTGATTTGGCTATTGGCAAACACCACATTGGTTCCCTAAAACCCATGGCTCTCTGAGCTGCTTTAGCTCATGCTAGCATTGTCCCTCTGAAACCCACCAGCTGCCTTCTGTTATGGCACCAGGGATGATTTATTTCAGTGAAACCATCATGACATTCTTGTTCCACTTTTTACAGAGACATTGAAACTGTGACAATAGCAGTGATGTTTCTGTCGTATGGTTAACACCCTGTACTGTCACTCAAGTACTGTACCTTTGTGGTTGCACATGTGTTACTAATTAGATCCTATGGTGCTATTTTTATTGGTGCAAAATAAAACCCTCTCAGTTGACCATGGCTTGGTATTATTAGAACACAGGAACAGATCTTCCATGGCAGTACTAGCATTGCTTTTTTTTTTTTTTTCATTTGAGTCAAATGTATATATTTTCCATTAGTTAACTGACATTACGTACTGTACCCATGGTCTTTTTGGTTTACTTGTTGGTGCTGGTTTTGAAAGGAAAAAAAAAAAAAAACAGAAGACAAACATTGGACACCATTATACATGAAAAATTAATCATTTCATTGGAAGCAAGTTGAATACGTGTAATAAAATGTTTTTCCATAACGGTTTTAAGCTGTCTGTGAAGTAAAAGACGAAAGCCAGTCGCTCCAGGGCTGACAGGGAGGCTGTATCTTTCCCTGCTGCGGCAGTCACCCAGCTCGCTGGGGACTTGGCTGCCATGAGCCACAGCCTGCTGACCACAGCTGGGGTCTGGGTTAGAGGTCACTGGTAAATGCAGTTCTGGCGGGTGGCTCTGTCTCCCTGAGCGAGTGCTAACAAATCATCCCTGTGTGGCTGCCTAAGCATGGGTGGGGACATGAAGGTCCGACAGCTGTGCTGGGAGCCTGCGCATCTGACATGGAGTGGCCCATGCTGTAGAGCAAGGCCCTGCCGTGCTGCAAGGGATGCCGCGGCCATGAGCCCCCTGCTGCCCCACAACCCTGTAGACGGTCCTCACAGCTTCCCTCCTCCAGCAGGGGTGGGGGTGAGCCCTAGCGCTGCACACCTCCCAGGACACCAGACCATCACAGCAGGATGACAGTGGCCATTGGACCCCACAGCTTGCAGGGGGAGGTCTATTTCCTCCTGGAGCCAGGATGCAGAGTTCCCCACCCAAGAACTTAGAGCCTTCTATTAAGGTTGGAGCAGCATCCAGAAATTTCACTAAATAAAGACAGTTTAACAGACAACACACTGCCCCCAGCCCTCTGGTTACTGGGAAACCTGTAGTTTGTGTTAATTCTGAAGAACTATCACCCACCTGCCTCCGGGACATGTTAGAGCCTTCTCCCGTTCCTCTGAGTGTCCCGATCCCTCTGGTGGCTTGACTCTAACAGCTCTGTTGGCATGTATTTCTTTACAAGCTGCTTCAATTCCTGGGTGGCCCTCGGCGCTTCCAGTTTGTCAGATGAAACTGACAGTCTCCCCGTCAGCAGGTGTCGCAGGGCATCCCTCAGGGGCCAAGCGCTTCCTAGGACCGCAGCGAACACAAAGGAGCACAAGACCTGCGCAGGACCCACAGCCCCGCTGGGCAGAGGAGCCTGGAGCCCTGCACGATGGGGAATGAATGAGAGCACCAGGAACTCCAAGCAGGGAAAGGCCAGGGGTTTGTCAATCAGCCTTCCAGACGCAGACTGAAAGGATGGGGGCTGGACTCTTTGACGGCAGCGCTCTCCCTCTGCAAAAGGTCTCAGCAAAAGCCGTTACATTTTTTGCTTCCAGGCAATAATCTACTGCCTCTGTGTCCACCTTCTCTGCCTGACAAGGAAGCGGTGCCCAGCCCTCCCACCATCCCCTGGTTCCGCACTAATGCTCTTCTTGACAGGTCACCAAAGGCTTCATGCTGTCAGATTGCATAGACATCCCCGTGTGCTGTTCTCCAGCTCCAACAGCCCTCTCCCTGGGCATGTCCTCTTCCCCTGGCTTCTGCAGCACCTACTCTCCTAACTTTTCTCATCATCGCTCTGGGCTCCCCTTTCTCCACCAGCCACCTAGGTGATGCAGTGCCCGGAGCTCAGCCCTCCACCCCTTCTCTCTGTATACTTTCTCTCTAGATCATAGCACCGGGACCCAGGACTTTTAAAACCACGTACACTCTGGTATCTCCCAAATGAACATCTTTGGCCCCGACCACTCCCTTGGCCTCCATACTAACATATGACCTCACCACAGCCAATCCCACAGGAAGTTCTAGGACCAGGAGGGCCCTGTAGAGTCGTCTCAACTCTGCAATTTTGGCAGCAGGGGTGGCAGGGGCACCTCATCTCTGCTGGGGTGGCTCAAAGGACAAGTAAAAACTGGTGTGATCAGAAGGCTCACACGCCTGCACATCTGGCAGCTGATGCCAGCTGTCAGTAAGAACCTCAGCTTGGGCTGCCGGCCAGAACACCTAAAAGAGGCCTCCCCGGGGGGCTGCTTGCTCCCCTGCAGCGTGGTGGTGGAGTTGCAGGGGCAAACGCCCGAGAGCGAGCAGAGGGACACTCATGGGAGCTGCGTCACCTTGTGTGACAACTCAAAAGTTACTCAGTGTCACTCCCACCATACTCTGGTCATGAGGCAGGTACAAAGGCCACCCGAGTTTACAGGGAGGAGACAGAGTCTGCCTCCTTCTAGGGGTGTGGCAAGGTTCTAGAAGAGCAGGTAGGATGGGAAATGTTGCCATTTTTAGAAAATTCACACACATCCCTTGCATAGAGTTCTCCAGAGAAACAGAACCAATATACAGATGATAGAGATTTATCATGGGGACTGACTCACATGATTAGGGAGGAAAGAAGTCCCACCATTTGCTGCCTACAAGCTGGGGACTCAGGAAAGCTGGTGTGTAGTTCAGTCCAAATACAAAGGCCCAAGTTCTGACACCTAAGGACAAGAGCAGATGGAAGTCCCGGCTCCAGAAGGGAGAGAGAGAGACTTCGTCTGTTCC